CGCCGCTTAGTCTCACTGCATCCCTGGGAGGTAGGCAGTGTCACCTCCCTCCCTCCCATCAAATAAGAGCACCGAGACAGAGACTCTCAAGGGTAGCTAAGGCTCTGGCAGAGAATAAAACCAAGTGGTCCCCATCTTCAGTCCTACCAGTTGACAAGAAAGTCACTTAACTTACCTCAAACACAACGTGGTCTTCAGAGACCGTATGCTGAACCATGGCCCAACATGAGGTGGGTCGTACAGGGACGCAGGAGCCCAGGCTAGGGGACCTGACGCAGGACTGCAAGGGGAAAGACTTTAAGGTACAACAAGGAAAGAAAACATATGGTGTTGACATCCTTCACCAACCACGACTTTGGAAAGCCCGTCCATCAGAGGATGGCTTGTCCCCCTGCCTGCCGCACTGCCCGTACTCCGCGCAGCTCTGGTGAAAAGGTGACACATTTCTGGTCCTTCCATTACAGACAGTGTCTACATTTAAAATGAGCAACCGGGGAGTGTCCTCTCGATGAGTGTCCACACCACAGGACTTGGCACAGATTTTTTCCGGGACGTGGGGTAACAACCTGGCCTCTGTGAATACCCGACCCTTAGTCTTGTTTTAAAAATACCGGCGTGAGTATGGAACAGGATGTGGATATGCAATACATTTTCCAGATGAAAACGTACAGAAAGCAACGTTGGGTTGACTCCAGCACACCGTTAGAAAAATGTGAAATAGCGATTAAAAAAAAATAAGTGAACTGTACCGTTTTTCCATCAAAGACAGAAAAGTTGTTAACTGTGCAGCCAACTGGCACTGCCTGACCCATGCATATTGTCATACTTTATAACGTCTGTGAGAGGATGCATTTTTCAGACACGTTTCATGTCGTTTTACAATTTTGGGTTCCCCGGAACTAGAGACCAACTGGGGCACGACCTGACTGAAATAGACTGCATGATGACAGTCCATCACGCTTACAGTCATTTATATTTCATTTCCAAAAAAAGGTTTCTAATTTCTTCTCACCATTTCAAAAACATCTTTGTGATAGAGCTACTCATTAAAATATCCATCATTACTTTGCATACCACTTTATTTAAATAAACTGTAGTGAATTTAAAGCTAGGTTACTATATAAAATAATTCTTACTGATGCATGAAAAAAAAATCTCAGATATGCTTTGCCTACCTTTCTTCCCCTTTTGCACTCACTTTACAGATCCTGTAGCAAACAGGTTTGCCGGAAGCAAACAGATTTGATCACAGACATATCACTGCTTGGGGGAAACCCGCACTTTCTGCAGAAAACATTTTTAACTCAAACATTGGCATTTGCAGAATAATTTGATATCTGAGAGTTACCCTGCCAGAAAAGTTGCAATATCAGGACGTGCACACGCAAAGAAAAGCGAAACAAGTCAGATTTCTCAGATGAAACCCTGTATGTGAACTCTACAAACAACGCAGATGTCAAATAGTCATAAATACTTTATGAAAGATTTTTAAAATCTCATAACTCCATAGATTATTCACAAATGAGCAGCTCAACCCTACATGGTATTGAAAACATTTATTTTAAGTGGCAG